AGTGTTCTCCTGCAAGGGAAGGATCGTTCTATACACGACATCCGCTCATATAATGCATGCTACGACCCACTGTCATACCCATTGTTCTTTCCATGGGGTGAGCTCAGGTGGCGCAATTACATTCCAAAAGTGGGTGTGACTATGGCTCAAGTTGAGCGAGCTCGAGCAATCTGCAAAAAGTGTGCTAAGAATGGTGGCGATGATGATGGAGGTAACTTGAACTCTTTTCAATAATGCAATATAAACTCTTTTCTGTTAACTCATAATACTAATTCGAACAATGTCTCCTTGTAGAACCTATTGCGAATACATGTGTCTCCATGCGCGGCTACTGCTACTACAAGTTCCAGATGTGGCCAGGGATATTTAATCCAATACTGTATGGCCGACGTCTTTTCTAGCAGTTCGCCATCGACACCTACATCAAGATTGAGAGCTCGCGTTTAGACTACATGAGGAACAATCAGGATACTTTGAGGGCTGACCTATACCAAGGCCTAGTGGATAGCATGCATTCGGATGAAGGATCTACTGAGAATGTTAGAAGGTGTACTGTCCTATCTTCGTCATTCATCGGAGGACCCCGTGATATGAGGCACCGATACATGGATGCAATGGCTCTAGTGTGAAAGTACGGTAAACCTGATATCTTCCTCACAATGACATGCAACCCAAACTGGGATGAGATCAAGAATGAACTTGGGAAGGTGAAGGCCACCCAGATCTCATCACACGAGTCTTCAGAGCAAAGTTAGAGGCGATGAGGAAAATGTTGATGGAGAAAGACACACTTGGGAAGGTGAAGGCCTATGTATATGTAGTGGAGTTTCAGAAGAGGGGCTTGTTGCATGCACACTTCTTGCTAATAATGGAACGGAAGACAACCTCACATGTCCTGAGCAATATGACATGATTATCACTATAGAGCTACCAAACAAGAAGAAGTACCCTGAGCTATACAAGATGGTCATGAAGCATATGATGCATGGTCCCTGCGGGACACTTAATCCATATTGTCCATGCTCGGTGGGCCATGGGTCATGCAAGAACTGTTACTCGCACCCATTCTATGAGGCAACGTCATAGGGAAAGGATTCGTACCCCATCTATCGGCAACGCAATGACGGCCGTACGCAAAAAGTTTGAGGCCATTACCTGGAAAATCAATGGGTCGTGCCTTACAACCCTTGCCTGCTACGTACCTTCAACTACCATATAAATGTTGAGGCTTGTGGGAGCATTAAATCAGTAAAGTATCTGTTCAAGTACATATACAAGGGACATGACAAGGCATCGATGGTGATGAGGGAGACTGACAAAGCAGATGAGAAAGGGAACACTTATGAGATCAAGCAGCATAGAGACGCCCGGTGGGTGACACCTCTAGAAGCACTATGGAGGATATATGGCTTTGACTTGAGCAAGAACCATCCACCAGTATAGCAGCTGCAGCTTCATCTACCCAACATGCACATGGTGGCATTTCATAAACGGACAACGTCAAACGGATTGTTAATAGGCCAGGTGTAGAAGAGTCAATGCTGACGGCATACTTCGATGCAAACAGGCTACATGAGGAAGCCCGCGGAATCTTGTATCGGGACTTCCCGGAGCATTTTACCTGGCAGTCTGATGGTAAATTCTAGCAGAAAAAGGAAAAACTCTATTTTCCAAGTTGGCAGAGTCATCTCGGCTCATCCTGCTAAGGGAGAATACTACTTTCTTCATGTTCTCTTAAACAATGTTGCTGGTGCTACATCATACGAACACCTCAAGACGGTTGATGGCGTTCTACTACCTTCATTCCGTGAAGCTACAGAAAGGAGGGGTCTAATCGAAGAAGACAATACACTGGATGAATGTCTAACTGAAGCTACTTTATTCTAGATGTCTTCCTCTCTATGAAGGCTATTTGCAACAATATTGGTATTCTACGAGCCAAATGATGTGATGGGGTTGTGGAAAAAACACTACGATGCAATGTCAGAGGACTACAGCCGCAATAATCCATCCCTGGATCTGGTGCAACAGATGGTTTTGATAGACATTAGAAACTTGCTACAATTTATGGGGAAGGACATAAGGTCATTTTCTCTTTCAGATATTGATCACTCATACGACAATGCCAGCCATAGTCCTCATGAGATATTTGAGGAAGCTAGCATCAAGCCGAATTCAAAGATGTGCTATTGTGTGACTCACTAAACGCCAAGCAAAGGTCTACCTATGATGAGATAATGGCCGCTGTCTACCACAAACAAGGTGGGTTGTTCTTTGTGGATGGACCAGGCGGGACGAGAAAGACCTTTTTGTATAGGGCACTTCTCGCAAAACTATGTAGCCAAGACAAGCTTGCCGTGGCTATAGCTACATCTGGAGTCACAACATCCATAATGCCAGGTGGGAGGACGGCCCACTCGCGTTTCAAGATACCCCTCACTCTTGAAGAGGGCGGTTGTTGTACCTTCATGAAATAGAGTGGTACTACCAAGTTGCTGCAACAAGCATCTCTCATAATTTGGGACGAGGCATCTATGACAAAGAGGCAAAATGTGGAAGCACTAGACAACAACCTATGAGATATAATGGGTCGGTCAGACCTACCATTTGGTGGGAAGACTGTTGTCCTTGGTGGGGATTTCAGACAGGTCCTCCCTGTTGTGCGGAAAGGATCCAGGGCTTAAATAGTCGGGGCTTCTCTACGAAGGTCGTATCTTTGGGAATCCATGCGCTACCTAAAGCTCGTCTGCAACATGATGGCTCAGAGTGACCCATGGTTTGCAGATTATCTATTGCGCATTAGTGGTGGAACGGAAGAGGTTAACAGAGATGGCGATGTACATATTCTAGACGAGATCTGTGTCCCATACTCTGGCGATGCCGAGAAAGATCTTCATAGATTGATCGACATCATCTTTCTAGACCTAAATCACCACCAGAGCAATCTTATCTACACGTGACGATTGGGTGGACATGATCAATATGAAAATGATTAATATGTTCTAGGGCGGCAAGATGGTATATCATAGTTTTGACTCCGTGGTAGATGATCCACATAACTACTATCCATCAGAGTTCCTTAACAGTCTGACCCCCAATGGGCTGCCTCCACACGTCTTGAAGTTCAAGCTCGGGTATCCTGTCATATTGCTTAGGAATATTGACCCTGCCAATGGGCTATGCAACGGTACAAGGCTGGTGGTGCGGGGGTTCCAAAGAAATACAATCGACATGGAAATCGTGGTGGGGCAGCATGCTGGGAAGCGGGTATTCCTTCCTCGAATACCACTATGCCCGTTTGATGACGAGATGTTCCTGTTCCTATTTAAGAGGAAGAAATTTCCTATCAGGCTGAGCTTTGCCATGACAATCAACAAGTCACAGGGCCAAACTATCCCAAACGTGGGTGTGTACCTGCCCGCACCGGTGTTCTCTCACGGTTAGTTGTACGTTGCGATGTCTAGAGCCACGTCAAGAACGAATATTAAGATCCTTGCCCTCCCGCCTGATGCGGATGCACAAGAAGAGGCGGCCAAAAAGATGGAGAAGAAAAATGCTAAAAATAATGCCAAAGGGGAAAAAATAAGAATTTGTCGAATAAAAAAATTAACAATAAGAAGACCCCAATAGTGGATGAAACTTTCACGAAGAATATTGTATTTAAGGAGGTTCTAACGCCATAGGCGAGGTAATAGAACAATACTAACTCATATAATGCATTTTTCATTCAATTTATATTGTACAAATATTATTTCACTAACGCCATATTTGTTGTTGTTCATAGGTATTTTTAAATGGTTTATCAAACTCTATACGGATATGTTGTATACACACTACATGGCAACCGGAAAATCATCCGTATATCTTAGATTTACATTTCAAGAACAATGTCGTGTAACACGTTTATATTTACTCGAATATTATAAAAATGACACTTTGAGTGTTTTGTTTATAATATTTTGTTTTGTAACCATTCATAACTATTGCACATGTATGTTCTCAAAACCATGAGTTTTGTCGACTTTCCCCACTTTTCTCATGTGCCAATGTGGGATCAACTGAATTAGCACCTGCATAATTACAAACATAAATTACTTGAATAAAATCAACGAGGTAAGTTAGCGGTAATAATGAACAATAGTGATAAACAACACCATACCAGTGTTGATCTACTCCAGCTGTTCACCGTCACTCTGTTTTAGTTTTAGAGTTTCAGTTTTATTAGATTGTCTTCCCTTTTAGTTTCAGTTTCGTCAGAGTTTAGCTTTGTTTCAGTTTCGTCAGTTAAGGTTGCAGTCAGCCTGACACATGTGTTTGGTTCATGCGTAGGCAAGCCCGAGTCCCGCGTGGCTCTTGCGTGGTCGTGGGAAGGCACGATCGTAGTGGTGCTGGTTCCGCGCATTCAGGAGGATAGCTCCTTTGTATTTCCCTTTATTTACTAGATATATGCTAGTTTGTTACACCAGGGTCATGAATTTTTTCATGAAATCTACAAGACTAAAATCATAGAAAATATAAAACACACTTCATGATCTTTATCACCTATAATATATGTTTATATGATTAATTAGAAACTCACTTGGATAATAATCAAATTAATATTTTAATCAATAAATTTATAATTAAGAGACATGAAAAATGTTAGCAGTGCTACGTAGAGCTCGATGCTATGAAACTAACACAATGAGAACTACTTTAATCCGAGTTGAAATGATTACACGACGGAGATTTGAAGGTAAGTGGCAAACCAACTTCCCGCGTGAAGTGCGTTAGGAAGAACAAAAAGAAGGGAGGAAAGGGTGGTGCTCGATCTGTGGCAGGGAGGAGGGATTGGCCGGGCTGGGATTTTCTTTCCCCTCCTCAATCAATTAATCACTGCATGCCCTTCCATATTAATTTTTTCATTTTCATGGTCAATCATGACATTTACAAATTACTCATGCTTAGCATAAAATCTATCATTTTTCCTACAATAAGGACCAAAATTAGTCACGAGGAGCATGGCACTGCGGCGGACGCTACTAGCGCTCCCGTACGACATGGTCGTTGAAATCGCCAGGCTTGTCTCCGACGACCTCGCCGCACCCGATGGAGGACCTCTACAGCCTCCGTGAGAAAGCACGTACGTGTCTGTAGTCCACACACGCATGAGTCGCATTACTACAAATTTAATTTGTCTACCTGTACCTTGTGTGTGTCTTGTAGTTGCCCGACCATGCGCGCGGCGTGCATGGAGCACACCGTCAGGAGCCGCGTAGCGCTGGAGCAAGAGGAATCCATGAGGTGGTTCGACCACAACCGCTACCTCGCCCTTGTCGACGAACTGGCCGTCGACGGCAACCCGGAGGCCTGCTTCATGCTCGGGCTCTGGCTCGTCTTCACATAGGGCCGCATGGACCCCGTCGGCACTGCCTGCCTCAGACAGGCGGCCGACGCTGACCACAAGGTGGCGGCCTACGTGCTCGGCGTCTGTAATCATAACGATGAATCTATAGGTATTTATGATAGCATTTGGTGGATACACGAACTCGAACGCCGACAATCGCTGTGTCCACCGTCGCCGTCACCCTTCGGCACGGTTCAGAGAAGTGTTTATGTTCCAGTTCTCCCCATCGCTCAATGGTACAAGAAGGCATCGCTCAGACTTAGTATTAGGCCATGCAGGGTCCCTGTCTACTTGGCCCATTCCAGTAGCTAACCTGACGTTCGCCTTCCTTCACCTTGGGCCAGCCCATTCTCTAGCTTGTTTGTTCCGGCGTCCACCTTTAGCTTCTTCAGTCATCGGTCCCCTTTCTTCAGTAGTTGCATCTTCAGTTTCTTCAGTTCTGTCTTCAACAGCATGATCATCGGTGGTGACATCCCCCCGTTCTTGAAAACCAACTTGTCCCCAAGCTGGTGCTCGAGGGAACTCTTGACGAAGAGCAACTTCATCTTCCCACAATGGTAGCTCAAGAGGCAGATTAGACCAGCGACACCAGTACTTGCGGGATCATGGAGTCACGTTGTTGGTGAAGGCGATGATCCAAGATCTCCATTGGAACCTACAACTCATCAGTGGGATCAGGTAATGCAGGGCTTACCGTTGTAGTAGCTGGAACAACCCGTTTGAGTTGAGAGACATGAAAAATAGGGTGAATGTAACAATCATTTAGAAGCTGCAGACGATAGGCACAGGACCCGATCTTCTCTAGTATTTTGAAAGGGCCAAAGAATCTGAACGCTAATTTGTTTGATGATCTTGGTGCCAATGAGGTTTGAACATAAGGTTGGGCCTTGAGGTACACTTGATCTCCCACTTGAAAAGCCTAAAAGGATCTTTGCTTATCGGCCTAATTTTTCATTTTGTTCTGAGCTCGGAGCAGATGTTGTTTCACTAAATGTTGCATCAGCTCTCGTTCATGCAGCCAAGTTTGAAGATCTGGTACCTGACAGGACTATGAGATGTCCACACCAAAGTGGCATAGTTCATGGCCGTAAAGGACCAGGAAGGGACTCTTGCCGAGGGAAGAATGAAATGAGGTGTTATACCAATATTCAGCAAGAGGTAGCCAATGTGACCAACGAGTAGGACATGCATGGACAAAGCAACAAAGATAAGTTTTAAGGTACTAATTTACCCGTTCCATTTGACCGTCTGTCTGAGGATGGTAGGCGCTGCTCATACGAAGATCAATGCCCAAAAGTCTAAACAATTCCTGCCAAATGTGACTTGTAAAGACTTTATCACGATCAAAGACCATAGCTTCCGGCAGCCCATGTAGTTTGAAGACATTGTTCATGTATAGTGTGGCCACTTGGAGTGCAGTGAACGGGTGAGATAGGGGCATGAAATGTGCATACTTCGAGAATTTTTCTACCACAACAAGAACACAATTGTATGAACTAGATTTTGGAAGGCCTTCAATAAAGTCTAGAGTGACCATTTGCTAAGCCCCTTCTGGAATAGGTAGAGGTGCTAGTAACCCAGGATATGCCACTCTTTCATGTTTAGCTTGCTAACAGACTGTGCATTGAGCAACAAAGTCTTGAATGGTTTGTTTGAATTTAGGCCATGCAAATAACTGCTTCACTCTTTTGTATGTAGCTTCATAACTAGAATGGCCTCCAATAGCACTACTATGCAAGGTAGACAAAATCATAGTCTGGATAGAGGGGTTGGGGCCAACCCAGATTCTATTTTTGTATCTGATAAGCCCATCCTTGAGTAGGTAGTGGCCCTAAGGTGAACTGACAGATAACTATGACATTAGTTGATTAGTGGAGGGTTCTGAGCATAAGCAGTTTGTAATTCAAGCAACCAAGTTGGTTTAATGACAGGTATAGCAGCTGTCTCATAAGATACAGCTTGGGGTACTCTTGATAAGGCATCAACAACTCTATTGTCAGCACCTTTCTTGTATTGTATTTGGTAGGTCAACCCCATGAGTTTACTGAGTGCTTTATGTTGCCAGGGAGTTGATAACCTTTCATCATCCAAGTGAGTCAAACTCTGTTGATCAATCAATATAATGAATGGTGCTGATTGCAGGTAATGTCTCAAGTGATCCACTGCCATGAGAATTGCTAGACATTCCTTCTCATAGGTAGAGAGTCCCTGAGCCTTTGTACCAAGGGCCTTACTGACAAATGCTATTGGATGGCCCTGTTGCTACAAGACAGCTCCTATTCCCTTAGCTGATGCACCAGTTTCCATAGTAAAAGGTTTATCAAAGTTTGGTATAGCCAATACATGGGTAGAAGTAAGAGCTTTGTTTAAGGCTGAAAGGATCTAGGATGCCGCCTAGAGGCGGGGTGAATAGGCGTTTCTGAAAAATCAACACCTTTTGAAGCAGAAACGATTAGTAATAGGAGTTTCCAAAATGGAAACTCCAAATCAGAGTAATACCACCCCTCACAAGTTAGCCACAAAGTATATAAAAGATACTAGATAAACCTAGGCAGCCAAACAGCAGCAACCAAAGAGTTGAATCAAAATGCTCTAGTCAGTTAATGTCGGAAGTCCCGATGTTTGGGTCAGAACTTCCGACATGTCAGAAGTCCCGACGTTTGGGTCTGAACTTTGGACGTGTCAGAAGTCCCGACGTTTGGGTCAGAACTTCCGACGTGTCAGAAGTCCCGACGTTTGGGTCAGAACTTCCGACGTAAACGGGAAATGAACTGCAAGTGCTAAAATGAACTTTGTGATGCCGATAACTTACAAACCCACTTCCTAGTGGTAAGGTAAGGTGTTGGGTCACTCTCTTGACGTTGATAAGCCACCACTCCGTAGATTGAGTCCCAAACCCTAAGAAATAGCTAAAGAGAGGGAGACAACCAAATACAAGTAATTTCGAGCAAATCACAACAACAACAAGCACGCGGGAGATAAGAATTTATCCCGAGGTTCGGCAGCCCCACAAAGGAGCTCCTACGTCCTCATTGTTGAGGTGACCACTTTGGTCGGAGTCTCTTCCACCTCCTTGCCTCACTCAAGAATACCACAAAGGTCACTTGAGTTTCTTCACTAGAAATCAAGGGAAATACAAACTTCCTAAGGCTCTTCCACAAGATGGAAGCTCTTAGGCGACGCCTAGCCGGCTAGGGGAAAATCCCCAAGAGTAACAAATGCAAATCAAACCGGCTTGACGAAGAAATCAAGTGCTCAAGCTTGCTCAAAGTGATTTTCTCTCTCAATCCACTCTCCAAACACTCAAACCCTTTGGGAATCGAAGTTGGAAGCAAAGGAGTGAAGAGTGGCGAGCCTAGAATGCTTGGAGGCAGTTTTGGCCGAGTGTTCATTGTAATGAAATGAGTGGGCAACGGTTAGAAGCAAGGAGAGGGGTATATATACTTCAAGGCAAAATCTAACCGTTCAGATCTACGTCGGAAGTTCTGACGCAGATCTCGGGACTTCCGACGTATGAAGAAAACACTGTTCACGCGAGGTCAAAGTCCACTCGAGACAGCCAACGTCGGAACTTCCGACAAGGGTCGGGACTTCCGATAGTCGGAACTTCTGACGAACGTTGGGACTTCCGACGGTTGGAACTTCCGACGAACGTTGGGACTTCCCACGGGCACAGACAGCAGGTCAGTAGAACCATCGATGCCGGGACTCCCGGCTTGGGTCGGGACTTCCGACTGTCGGAAGTTCTGACGTCCACAGTCATCGCGCAGGCTATGACTGGGAGTCAGAAGTTCCGGCAAGAGTCATGACTTCCGACTGTCGGGAGTTCCGGCTTACGTCGGGACTTCCGACACCGACAGTCACCGAAAATTATTCTATGTGCTCGTGAAGTGCTAGAGTGTCTCTCTTTTGATTTAATTATTATGCTTGAGCACTCTATCTTCCTCAGACCACCTAAACTTGCATCCCTCTTAATAGTACGGCATACCTATTAACTCAAGATCAAAAGAAAAACGAAATTAAACCTTTTGAGTTGATCTTCTTTAAAATTGATGCCGTGTCTTTCAATCTTCATCAAGTGAGGGTGCCAACATGTCAATATTGATCTTATCACTTGAGCATAGCCATCTTGAGCACGTGACTTGATTCCATTCATCAAATATGAATAACTCCAAATGCATCAAGTCACTTTAATCAACTTATCCAATATAGATTTGATCCTCCACATCAATATGACCATCATAGCTTGATTAGTACCTCAACTAAATGCAAGTACTTTCTTCTTCACCCTAGCTAGGTTCCTCGGCCATCAAGCCGTCGCTTGCCCTTCACCCTTGCTTAGTACCTCGAAGCTTTTTCTTGCTATCTTCACCATCTCAAGCCATCAAGTCACATCTTGTATTAAATCAACCATTCATTTGTATTGTTGCCTTTTTCATTTCAATTTAGCAAGCTTCAAATATGAGACCATTCCATATGCAATCTCTCATGTCTCATTAATTAACTCTTATCGTGCTTGCTTTCACATAGATCATTGAAATCCCACAATAAATAAGCCTTTGCATGAATTCCATTTGTATTGTTGTCTTGTGCTTGAACTAGATTGTTTATACAACAATACATTATTTTTGGCTTTATACAATTTCATCAAGTATCTGTGAGATAATCAATTTCCTGTCTAACACTTAGCAAACATGTTAGTCCTTTAATCGTGTTGTCATTCAATCACCCAAAACTCACTAAAGGGCTAGATGCACTTTCAATCTCCCCCTTTTTGGTGATTGATGACAACCTGATTAAAGCTTACAAAAAGATATAAACAATTAGGCTTTTGGATTCAATGATATATGAGAGGCTCCCCCTTAATGTGTGCAATATGAATTGAATTCATAAATGACCTCAAATATCAATTTGCACATACTAAAACACATAGGAGACCCCCCCTTAAATCATTGCATCCGTAGGGTGCAAGTGTGTGTCAAAATAAAAAACCGTGATGC